CTGTTCTTCCTTTAGTTTTAAAGTAATCGATGAATGAATATTATCAAATATATTAAGTAAATTCACCTTTTCATGTTCTTTTTCTAATACTATGAGAGTATCATCTATATAGCGACAATAAGATGTTAGATGGTTAATTGTGTCCTTAAGTGGTTCATTTTCTAGTAGAGGGCCCAATGGTGACTCCATGTTCTACCCCATCCAATTGTCTATAGTATTCATTGTCAAGTCGGAAATGAACATTCATGGTACATCTAAGAATTAACTGTTTTATTGAAGATGCAGAAATTAAGGTCTCTATGCGCTGCTCTGTTAATTCATTACAAATAAAATCCATCGTTTCAAACAGGCTCATTAGCTGCTTACAACCTACAATATTTAAAATCAACGTTATAACAGATATTGACATACTTATAAATATAAGGGTGATTATGTGTGAATATGTGTATCATGATGTAGTGAAGATTCCGATAGAGTGAATAAGGTCATAGAAAATTTTGTTTCGGATAAATAACGTTTGAGAAGGAAAGTTCCAGAACATTGAAATAACAATTAGAACTCATGGAGTTAGTTGTATAATGAAGCAATTGAAAACAGATTAATGGTAGTAAAGAAAGATCTGAATTGAAATCATTCAGTTATGAATTGAAGAAAAATAATAATAATTTAATCAAACTTCAGGAAGAGTTGAAATAATGAATGACGTAATCAATAAAAAAGGGGTGTAATGTTACCAGGGCAAAGAAAGATTTATTACTACCACGTTTTGGATACATCGGAATCTTCGCTACATCATGATACACATATTCATCTCTAATCACCTTCGTATTTATAAGTATGTCAATATCTGTGATAATGTTGGTTATAAAATATTATAGACTGTAGGCAGTTGATTCGAATCTAACGAAACATAATGAATTCATATTATTCTGCATCAATCTTCGTTCTTGCTCTTTTCAAGACTGATCAACTTTCAGTCAAAACTATCAACAACTGGGTAAGCCAATGAATTTCACATTGAATTAGATTACTGAATGTTGTTTAGCTATAAATAATTGTATGGAATGTGGTATGCTATTTCTAGGAGATTGTTTTCAACAGTGATGTAGATTTTCACACAGTTTTAACTTGTATTGTTCATACCTTCACATGTAAATTTAGTAGTATAACAATTTTTGTAGTTTCAATCCCCCTTTTTTGTATACTGATTCGAAGGATTCTATGGTTGTAGACGTCCTATATCCAATTTATTTTTAAAGTAATCAGTTCTTTTTAGAAAATTGGATAGTGTAATAAGAAGACGAATATTATTAGAACTATGTACTATATTAGCTTAATACATTTCGAACAATCTGAATACATGTATACTTGTTAAGAACATTTATATATAAAAATAAATGGACAAATAGGCACATCTAAGGTAAGAGTAAGCAAAGATAATAAAGGAAACAATGTGAAACTCATCACGTTGGATGATAAACTAGTATTAACAGGGTAGGTTTAAGGTGATAACAAACTGTTTTTTGATTACAAGATTTTAATCGCTGGTCAATTTCCGTCATATTTGATGTGTGAGAGTGAAACTAAAGGACGACTGATTGTTGAACATGGACAAATAGCCACATCCTACAGAGTATTACATGTGTGATTTCTAATTTTGACTCACTGAGTGTGACTGCTCATAATTGTTAATCTGATCCTCTATTTTGGGTCGTGAATCTTGTTTCTGATATAACGTGATTAGCCTTATAAAAGTATTATTGTAATATACATGTAGAGGGAGGAATATATTGTAAACCTTACGTTATATCAATAATAAAACACAGATGTATGGGAGAATATTCTTTTCAATTATAACAATTTCTCTTCAGGTTCTACAATTATTTATCCAAATTAATAGTCCAAAATTTTAGTTATTTATTTGATCAGATAAACAATGATACAGGGGGAGCACCAAACAGACATGCACCACATAAATTATCCGATTTATGTGGGGGTTGGGATACTACATGGGTGCTCAAACCTAAGCAGGTGGTTTTCTTAGGTGCCACACCCGGAGCTTCCTACCTAAAGGTCTAATCCACATGGTAGTGTCGTAACGTCAGGAAATGCAGTCCCATGGTAACCGGTGACCAACTATTGGTTCATACGCCACTCTTTCCCTCAGGATCCTGTATCCCATGTGCACCATCGGTTTGGAATCAGGGTTTGCCAACTCTCCTAAGTGAATCCTCCGTATCCACCAACCCGGTTCAAGTCCTGAACATTCGGTTTTCGTCCTCTCAATTTCGTAAACAACAGTAATGCTGCGAGAAGGCAGCGAGTAGGACTTTCCTGACAGCGTCTGTATACGCGTGGCCATGTAAGGGCATTCGATGCCCCTTTGTGAAAATATTTATGTGCTCAAATACATAATTGTACAACCTGAAGAGGATTTTATTGAAAAGAATATTCTTCGTTCACATATCTATGGTTTTCAATTCATCATAGGGCGTTTGAATTTTCGTATTGCCAAGTCTTCAGTAAACCTTAATATGTTCCCTTTACTACTTGTATTACACCAAAAAAGCCGTGTTAAGATCAATCTTATTATCTACTTCAACTTTATATTTGGTAATAGAGGATTTTGGATGTTTATCGTCTACACTTGTAAGGTCATTTGATTTTAATTGTTTTTGAAATCATATAGATACATAATCAGACACGCTAATTTGAAGATCACGATTATACTTCCCTATATATGTGTGACCACGCACATATTTAAATTGGTAAACACAGTAGGATGTGACGCAATCGTTTCCATACCTTTTAGGTTTTTGGTGATGGATGGACCTTGTTTTTTCTTTGATAATAACGTTTTCTGTGTAGTACATTTTGTTAGTAACTGTTTTGACCCTTTAATTCACTTGATATTGTTTTACTTGAATCTTCCCATTGATGTTTTAGGACTGAAATTGATCAGTCTCTTATTGGCATATGTGCATACTGTGCGTATGCCTCGATATTGCCTTAATTTACAAACATTATAAGCAAAGATGGATAGTGGCTAGCAGTGGAATCCAGGACGCGCGTTTCGTCCTGTTTGGGACTCGTCAGCTGGATGTACCTGCATCTCAGAGTTGATGTTCACTCTGGGACTCGAACTCAGTGCCGTTCGCTTCAAACGCCATCGCGTTATCCACTTAGCTACTGAGTCCTGGATTCCACTGCTAGCCACTATCCATCTTTGCTTATAATGTTTTAACTTTTTGTTTGAATAAAAGGCTATTTTATTCACCTATGAACGGTAAGGCGATGTAGACAGGCTTTTTTTATATCCTAAATATAATAGGTTTCACTATACCTTTCCATAGATTTAGGAATTTTAAAGGATAACCATTTTCCGTTTATGTTTTGTTTAATAACGTTTCTTCGTCATCAATAAAGTCTTTTGTACAAATACGATCAATCCTGTTAAGTAATCCCCTTATCAAACCCCGTTTGTATTGAACTTTGTAGTAACCACAAAACAAAGAAGGTACTGGCCTGTCCAAGTTAACTTTCAAAAAATCAATCTTTTGGTTGAACCATCTTCTCTTCTACTTACAAGTATATCTATGGTAAGTAGTTGGTCATTTTTCTCCTTATGTGGTTTTCAAGAGGGTTAAGTTTATTCAATTGACAATTCATATCCTCCGGCCTTTCATACATAACCAAGATGTTATCTCTATATCTCTTTTAAAAGGACATGTTTTCGATTAGGTATTCAGCTAGATTTTTATCATGTACCATGAACATGTTATTTAATATTGGTTCTAATGAACTATTGATAGCGATCCCATCGATTTGGCAAAAGTATTTACATTCAACTATGAAATGGACTTCGTCATTGCATAATATTAATAAATCTTTAAGAATTTTTAAAGGAAAGATTGTAAGAATACATTGGAAATTTCATGTAGACTAATTACCAAATGGGTTGTTTTCAGACTTGTTATGTCATTTTTTTCACCGAACTGAACTAATTGCTTAACAGGTTTCATAATTTAAATCACGAATTATTCTTAGTTGGAATACCACTGAAAACATAAAATCATTGAATAGCTTTCTCCACCTGGTATGATACTTTTCAGCAGAGCGCATACAATACTTTGCAGTGGGGAATCAAACCTAGGACCAATCTCATGTGTGAACTCGTAACCCTGGAACCACTAGGTTGGCATCCTATGGTTTATATGTCTAGCTCGTATCGATACACCTCCATCCACTATCTGTGATGAATAACTATCTCATACCTGTTATAGTTAGAGTTTTGATGCCGGCTCAGTTATTCATTTATTAATTTTAATACGTAGATATTGGTACAAGGAGGCACCAAATACATATTCGCCACACAGATCTCATCTGATATGTATGAGGGCTGTGATACTGCCCGGGTGCCCAAACCGAAGCAGGCGGTTTTCTTAGGGGCCACACCCAGAGCCTTCGACCTGAAGTTCTGATCCATAAGGCAGTAGAGCGATGTAAAGAGATGCAGTCCTATGTTAGCCGGTGACCAACGATTGGTTCATACGCCATTCGTTTCTTCAGGAGACTAGAGCCCATGGAATCAGGGTTTTCCAACTCCCCTAGGTGGACTCTTCATGTCTATCAACCCGGTTAAATCACCAGACATTCGCTCTTCGTCCTCTCAATTTCGTGAATAACACCCCCGCCATGAGAAGGCAGTGAGTAGGACTTCCCTGGCAGAGGCTATATATGCGTGTCCATGTGAGAGCATTTGGCGAGGGAGAGCGAACTCTCCTCACTCTCGGCCGTACCAGGGCATTTGGGGGCTCAGTGGTTCGAAGGTTAGACGTTTTCACGTAAGATCAAAAGTTTTTGGTTCGATTTCCCGTTACAAAGTTGTGCATGCACACTATTGAAAAGTTTACGGTTTCTATAAATCAATCATTTTATTTTTACCTTCTACTTATCTACTATTTTGTTATTTTGTAGTGGTATATTTATATGTACACAATATGTCATCCAATAGTTTAAATGAACTCATTCATAATCTGCTCATATTCATCTTAGAATATAATTGGATATATAATTTTCAATGGATTGGTGATTTATGTAAGATTAATAAAGATTCTTCTAATTTATGTATATCATCTATTATTGAAAGTTTACCAACATCTTGGAAAAATGTATTAAAGAGTGCGAGTCTTCAAGAATTACAAGTAAGTTGATTAGAAAAAGAAATGTTGATAATAATTAAATGAAGAGAATAATTTGTTAAAGTTTAACATTGTTGTTGTTGTTGCTGTAGTATACACACTGACTGATTGCTAAATAGTAGTAATGATCAGTGTTATACTTGTCTAACCTTTATCCATTGATCGAATATTATCAATCTAGTTGCTTTGTGTTGAGCATTAAAAGTAAAAGATATTTGTAAGCTACTAGGATTCGATCAGAGATGCCTTAGAAATATTGTTCGCATCTGCTGGGATCACCGGGTAAGCAATAGTGAGGTTAGACGTAGGGGATTAGGGAATGATGGTAAGTCAGTTAATGAGTTAGTGAATCTTCATCGACTGAGATGGTTGGGCCATGTGTTACGTATGACCAACCACCGATTACCACGATGTGCAATGCTGACTAGTGTTGGGGATAGTTAGAAGAAAGTTAAGGGCGGACAAACCAAAATGTGACATCAGTCGTTGAAGTCACTAACTTCTAATCTGAGCCATGTTAGTAGATGCAGACAACTTAGTTGGGTTCTGCGTGACTATCGTAACCAATGGTTGGATTATGTGGGTGACATGGCTGAGAATCGATCACAATGTCGTTGGCGTATACCCTCACTGTCTGCCCTTGAACTATGAGATCAAAATTACTTTATATCTTTCTTTCTACGAACCAGTCCTTTTTTCCTGTATTATATTCTTACATACAACCGTTCTTTTATATATTACTACCATTCCAGCAACTGCTGGAACAAGTACACGAGTGGGGACAAACGAATGTAGTTAAGTACAAAATTACAGAATATTTCAATAAGATCTGAGAACCATATAGTCAATGAGCAATGATGGATAATGGCTAGCAGTGGAATCCAGGACGCGCGTTTCGTCCTATTTGGGACTCGTCAGCCGGATGTACCTGCATCTCAGAGTTGATGTTCGTCTCAAATTTGTCTGTTTCTTTTGCAAGTATCAGTCCATTGTCTCAGATTTAATGGTTCATGCATTTTCATACCAATTGCGTCCCGTCTCCTTCCTTTCCTTATCGATCTTCTACGGAAATACATTCTATGCCTGATTACCGTTTTATACTAATTATGTGGATATAAGTAATCCACATCCCATAACTAGTTCTATAAATTTGTTATTCATCTTGTTGTGCTAATGAGATATCGCAACTTAGACTGATATATATATATATATATATATATATATATATATATATATATATATATATATATATATGCCTAGTCCTACGTTGTAATTGACTGACTAAACCGCAATCGTAAACATTAACCAATACAAAAATGAATGATCATCAAGTATCTTATTTGCTTTGTCTATTAATCACTATATTATCAATAAAATCACCTATGGTCCCCATTTACATCTTTATCATTTTAGATGTTTGTTTTGGATACTTCAAATTTATCCCATTGGCCTAATAGTCTTATAAATTTATCTATTCAATGTCGTCAATTCACAAGATTATTATTTCAATATATGATATTCAAATCAAATAAAAAATTTCCTTGTTGTTATTTCAATTCTAATAGTATATGTACAGATTTAATAAAATGTATACAAATGAATAATATAGAAAAGAATTATCTATTAAAATTATCCAAAAAGAAATCATATGAACTTAAACAAATATTGATACTTATTCAAACAATCTTATTATCAGTTGTGAATAGTACTACGACGACAACTGCCACGACGACGACGACGACGACGACGACTACGACTACTACTACTACTACTACTACTACGACGACGACGACAACGACAAGGACTACCACTAATAGTAATAATAATGAATTTGTTAGTTCTTCACAAGATATATTCCACTTTAATGAATTTCTACTGAATAATGAACATATTAGTGATCATTTTCAAAATATTCCTTTAATCAGTAATGAATTGATAGAAAATAGTATTATGAAAGGTTAGTGAAATTTTCATTATTGTTATTTATGATTAATTCAATTCCCCGCTTCGACAAATTGTTGTGAGTTTATGTCCGACTTTTTATCATGTGATTTATCCACTAATCAAAATACGACTTATACAATCTTAACACTGTGCCAAACCAATGACGTTCGAGTGCTATGAGCAGTCTAGCGTCCTTATTGGTTCTATCTTCGCGTAGCCCGTCTAATTGAGCCCAGAACACCAAATACCAGCTCCCACTATGCGAATCGAATCATTTATTTCAGACATACCGAGTTTATATATCAACTAAACAGACCTCAACGTACCATAAAATAGGAAATAACATTTGTACACAATAAAGTCAAAAAGTGGCTGTGAACGTGGGAGGCAGTAGTCAATATGGAATTCTGAGCACAAAGTATTTCAACAAGTTTCCTTTTCTTATTTTTTGATCGATCATGATCACCAGTTAAATGTTAGCAGTTCAGAAATCGACATCTGATTAATGTATATTCTTTCGACGATGGATACGGAGAAGTTTATTTAGGAGACTTGTAAAACCTTGATTTCAAACCAATGGTTCACATGGACTCCAGGATTAGAAGGAACAAATGGCATATAAACTTATTGTTGGTTACATACACATAGTTCCATTTATTATTTAAAAAAGAGCAAGAAACAGTAATAAATCTTTCTTTGCCCTGGTAACATTACCCCCCCCCCTTTTATTTATTACGTCATTCCAACTCTTTCTGAATCTTATAATTACGTCATTAGTCTATTTTCAGTTATTTCATTACATAATAATCTAATGTGTTTTAATTCCATGATTTCTAATCACTATTTCAATGTTCTGGAACTTTCCCTCCCAAACTCTATATATTCGAAACAAAATTTTATGACCTCATTAACTCTAACGAAATCTTTGCCACATTATGTTACATAAATTCATCTTTCATCGCCCTCTGTTGTATAAGTATGTCAATATCTATAATAACGTTGAATTTAAAATATTTTAGGTTGTAATCAGCTGATGAGAACCTAACGAAATAAAATGAATTCATGTATTATTCTGCACCAACTTCTGTTCTTGCTCTCTTATTGTTGGTTATCGGCTACCATAGGACTGAATCTCCTTACGTTGCTCCACTGCCATATGGATTAGACCTTTAAATAAAAGGTTTGGATTGTGGCCATATAAAAAAACCACCTGGTTCGATTTGGGCATCTGTGTAGTATCCCAACCCTCACATAAATCGAATGATTTATGTGGTGCATATCTATCTGGTGCCTTCTTGTACCAATGTTTGTGTGTTTAAATAAATAATAAAAATTGAATTGAGCATCTGTCATTAACCAATATAATGAATCGATTAAGTTAAATAGTCATTTCTACTTAAAGTGTGATTACATGTTGCAGACAATTTAAAAAGTAACCAATTACACATATTACATAATTCCAGTCAATTCAGTACACTTGTTCACTAATAATAAGCTATGAAAGTTTTGTTTTGTTTAAGACCATTGCCTGCAAGTGCCCTGGTACGGCCGAGAGTGAGGAGATTCCGCTCTCCCTCTCCAAATGCTCTCACATGGCCACGCGTATATAGCCTCTGCCAGGGAAGTCCTACTCACTGCCTTCTCGCGACATTACCGTTGTTTACGAAATTGAGAGAACGAAGAGCGAATGTCTGGCGCTTTAACCGGGTTGGTGGACATGGAGAGTCAACCTAGGGGAGTTGGAAAACCCTGATTTCAAAACAATGGTGCACATGGGATCCAGTATCCTGAGGAGAAGAACGGCATATGAACCAACTGTTGGTCACCGGTTACCATGGGACTGCATCTCCTTACGTTGCTCCACTGCCTTGTGGACCAGACCAGGATACGACGTTGATAAGATGAGCTTATTTATAATCAACACAATTATATGATATTGATAGTCACAGTGGCTACAGGAGGATAAAACCATGTCCTTTTCTAAAGTCCTAAATCCAGCACTACTGATTAACCATTCCTACATTTATTTATCCAGAGTTAGAATTAAAAATTTGGAGTTCGGCTCAGGATTGAAGGCTAGCAATTAAGGGTTTGTTTGATTTACGTGTTATATACAATCTAAACAGCAAGAATTTAGCATCCGATATGTTTTACATTATCAAATATACTTTATATTTGTAGATAATGACTTGTTATTATCTTATGGTTCGATGATTTATACTTTCACCTTTATGATTTACTGTTTTCCAGATGGAAATTCAAGCATCCCACTTAAGATTGTTGATATTGGTTCTGGATTAGGCTATTTATCTAATTATATTGGTTATCATCTAATACTTAAGTATGGGGATTTATTTACAGAACCTCAAATTATTGCAGTTGAATGTGATGAGGGTTTACATCTTAAAGCTTTGACAAATTTAAGTCAGTATAATTCAATATTTCAAGTGAAATCTTTAACTTCAGTTGTGAAACGATTACTATTTCGTGTTGAATCGACGAATTTAGATTTGTTACAAACAAGGTTGGTTAAATTTTTGCAAATTTGTTTAACTCTTTTAAACTACTTAAAATTAATTCAATAGTATGCTATGACATTAAAATAATCCTTAGATGAATAACATTTAATTTAACTCGTCATAGAATGTATTGTTAAGTAGAATAGTTGGTAGCAGAGGAATTCGAACTCACGGTTTCTTCTTTTCGTCAACCTTCAGCTGAATCTACTGGACCTAACATTCGAGTGATAATTTGACCTAAATTCACTATCTTTTGCTTCAAACACCATCTCGTTGTCCATCTAGCTACTGAATTCAGCCCACAATCATGAAGCAATCCATTCAAGACATATATATAGTCATGAAGACTGATCATTTGAAGTTTGTGACATTAACGACATGAAAATATAGAGCCGTATAAATATTAGTATTGATTGTCTGGTGTTCCATGTCAGTGATTCTGTGCTGAAAGCGATAAATTCTAGGTTTCAGTCTTTTTCTACTTATTTAACTTATCATAGAGAATCAAGCACACTTCATAGAATCCACTGTTCTAACCCCTGTCAGATATAAGCTATTTTGTACTTGGTTTTTAAGTTAGTTTCACTCATAATTCATTGTTTTTCATGATAATCACTTCCAGGATTTCTGAACTAAAGTATTTTCATTAAGATATTGAAATTGTTTCTTCTTACCTTGTTCTTTTAAATTTTTGTTACCTTTTCTGGTAAACAACTCCGCCTGTAGCTCTTATAGGGTTGCTGCCGGTCCCAAGCCCGGGTAAAGGAGGAGGGTTGGGCATGGGGTTAGCGTCCCCATCCCGTAGAAAACTAACTCGCTAAAAAAACGCTTACCAGAAAAAATAATCCAAACCATTTTAACTCTGCTCTGGGAGTTAGAAGGTCTTCATTTAGAAGAATTATGACGCTTCATGGTGAAAGCCGAGTTCCTTCGGAAGCCACGAGGCCGATGCCCCTTCTAACAACCAGAGCAAAAATTTTTATAGGTACATGGAACGTTCGAACAATGTGGGAAACCGGGAAGACCAGTCAAATATCAATGGAAATGAGGAGATACAACTTAGCAGTACTGGGAATCAGCGAAACCCACTGGACCCAAGCTGGACAGAAAAGGCTAGCTACGGGAGAGATGCTGCTATACTCCGGTCACGAAGAGGACAATGCTCCACACACTCAGGGAGTCGCTCTTATGCTGTCCAAAGTAGCACGAAATGCACTTGTAGGATGGGAATCTCACGGATCCAGAATCATCAAAGCATCATTCAAAACAAAGAAGGAGGGGATCACAATGAATATTATCCAATGTTATGCACCCACCAATGATAGCAACGACGACATTAAAGATCAGTTCTACGAGCGGCTGCAGTCAATCATTGAGAAATGCCCAAGGAAGGACCTAACTATTCTGATGGGAGATCTAAATGCCAAAGTCGGAATAGACAACACTGGATATGAAGATATTATGGGACGACATGGACTGGGAGAAAGAAACGAAAATGGAGAAAGATTTGCAAATCTATGTGCATTCAACAAATTGGTCATAGGAGGCACAATATTTCCACACAAGCGTATACACAAGGCTACATGGATCTCACCGGACCACACTACAGAGAACCAAATAGATCATATTTGCATCAACAAAAAATTCCGAAGGACAATGGAAGATGTGAGAACCAGGAGAGGTGCTGACGTAGCTTCAGATCACCACCTAGTTGTAGCCAATTTAAAACTGAAGCTAAAGAAAAACTGGACAACTGGACAAACAGCATTACAAAGGTTCAATACAGCCTTCCTTCGAGATACTGACAAACTCAATGAATTCAAGATAGCTCTCAACAACAGGTTCCAAGCCTTACAAGATCTACTGAAAGAAGAAGAAACTACTATGGAGGACAACTGGAAAGGCATCAAGGAAGCGTTAACTTCAACGTGTCAAGAGGTTCTGGGTCTAAAGAAATACCATCATAAGGAATGGATCTCTACAGAAACTCTGGACAAGATCAAAGAAAGGAAGAACAAGAAGGCAGCAATAAACAACAGCCGAACACGAGCAGAGAAAGTCCAAGCACAAGCTGAATACATAGAAGCAAACAAACAAGTGAAGAGGAGCATTAGAGCCGACAAGAAGAAATACGTGGAAGAACTAGCAACGACGGCAGAAAAAGCTGCTAGAGAAGGAAATATGAAACAGCTTTACAATACAACGAAGAAACTAGCAGGGAAATACAGTAAACCAGAGAGACCGGTCAAAGACAAAGAAGGCAAGCCAATCACCGAAATTCAACAACAGCGTAACAGATGGGTAGAATACTTCGAGGAACTCCTGAATAGGCCGGCTCCAATGAATCCACCGGACATCGAAGCAGCACACATAGATCTTCCTATAGATGTCAATCCACCAACTACGGAAGAAATTAGAATGGCCGTCAGACAAATCAAGAACGGGAAAGCAGCAGGACCCGACAACATACCAGCTGAAGCACTGAAATCAGACATCGAAGCAACCACAAGCATGGTTTATCTTCTATTCAAAAAGATTTGGGAGGAGGAACAAGTGCCGATGGACTGGAAAGAAGGACACCTCGTCAAGATTCCAAAGAAAGGAGATCTGAGCAAATGTGAAAACTACAGAGGCATACACTACTGTCAATACCAGGGAAAGTCTTCAACAGAGTGTTGCTGAACCGGATGAAGGATGCAGTAGACGCCCAACTTCGAGATCAACAAGCTGGATTCCGTAAGGATCGGTCGTGCACAGACCGAATTGCGACACTACGGATCATCGTCGAACAATCAGTTGAGTGGAACTCATCACTATACATCAACTTCATTGATTATGAAAAGGCATTCGACAGTGTAGATAGGAAGACATTATGGAAACTTCTTCGACACTACGGAGTTCCTGAGAAGATTGTCAATATTATCCGGAACTCATACGACGGACTACAGTGCAAAGTCGTGCATGGAGGACAGCTGACAGATGCATTCCAAGTAAGGACCGGAGTCAGACAAGGCTGTTTACTCTCTCCCTTCCTCTTTCTTCTGGTGGTCGACTGGATTATGAAGACCTCAACATCTGAAGGAAAACACGGAATACAATGGACAGCTCAGAATCAATTAGACGATTTGGACTTCGCAGATGACCTAGCCCTCCTATCACGTACACACGAACAGATGCAGATGAAGACAGCCAGTGTAGCAGCAGTCTCTGCATCAGTAGGCCTCAGCATACACAAAGGGAAAAATAAGGTCCTCAAATTCAAAGCGGAGAACAGCAATCCAATCACCTTGATGGCGAAACTCTGGAAGATGTAGAGTCCTTCACATACCTGGGAAGCATCATCGATGAACAAGGAGGATCCGATGCAGACGTAAAGGCGAGGATCGGCAAAGCAAGGGTCGCATTCCTACAATTGAAGAACATATGGAACTCAAAACAACTTTCAACCAATATCAAAGCGAGAATCTTCAATACGAACGTCAAGGCAGTTCTACTGTATGGAGCTGAAACTTGGAGAACTACAACAACCACAATCAAGAAAGTACAAGTATTTATAAATAGCTGTCTACGCAAGATACTGAACATCCATTGGCCGGATACCATCAGCAATAGCCTTCTGTGGGAGAGAACAAACCAACTTCCAGCTGAAGAAGAAATTAGGAAAAGACGATGGAAATTGATAGGACATACATTACGCAAATCGTCAAACTGCGTCACGAGGCAAGCCCTAACTTGGAATCCTGAAGGGAAGCGAAAAAGAGGAAGGCCAAAGAACACATTGCGTCGGATAATAGAAGCAGATATGAAAGCGATGAATTACAACTGGACGGAGCTAGAAAGGATTGCCCAGGACAGGGTTGGATGGAGAATGCTGGTGAGCGGCCTATGCTCCTTCACGAGGAGTAACAGGCGTAAGTAAAAGTAAGTTTTCTGGTAAACATCATTATTGTAATAAATTATTATTCGTCGAATGAGCAGTGATGTAGTCGATTTGAATCCAAACTGAGTGCCCATATGATCTAACTGTACTACTAATTAAATACATAAATTAAGCGGTTTAGGAGTTGTGGAGAATGTCAAGTTTTTTTATTAGGATCATGAACCGATTGATGCTAGACCAACATCGAAGACTTGGAAGCACTGAACGGCCGTTTCGTCCTATTGTGGGACTCCTCAGTAGTGCGCGTCCATGATCCCGCTCACGGGACTCGAACTCAGGGCCTTCAGTCTCGCGTGCGAACGCCTAACCTACTGGACCACTTAGCCGGCATCCAATGGTGTTAATGTCTAACCTCAATCAATCCACAAAATTGCGCGACCATCTTCCATTGTACTGAGGTAGACACCTGTTTCTACCCGACACGCATTAACTCCACTGGTCACGGCTCCTCGCTAAAACGCCGTGAATTTTCTCACGAAGCTAGTCACTAGTGAGCACATGGTAATTATCAGTCTAGGGGTTGTGGAGATTGTTAATTTTTTTTTTGATTGAGATCATAAACCGACAATAGGACGAGACGGCCTTCCAGTGCTTACAGGTTTTCAATGGTGGTCTAACATCAATCGGTTCATGATCTCAATAAAAAAAAACAAATTAAAGTTGTTTAGGATCGCATTTAAAATTAAAGCCCTCAAATTGAGAATTGATTATCAGAATCCCTGAATGACCAAATCAGTGACGTCTTTTTATGACTGAAAACAGTAAGATTGGAGCGATAAACTAGTTTTAGCTAAGTTAGATTTTATAACGTGTATTCAGTCTAAAATCCAAGTTGTTTTTGAATTATTGACACAGTTATGTATCATTACTTCTAATGTTAGTGGATTTGTATTATTATTACGTAATGTACACGTAGTTATATAATCTAATCTAGAGTAGTGGTTACTTGATGACGCATAGAACAAAGATAAAACTTAAAAGAATATCTGTAGGTAGTCGGTAATTTATTACTAAACTTTTAATGTTTAACATCCAACCACCTTTAAATCTTGTTTGTATATATATTCCTTGAACGACCCATTGATTGTTCAAGTACGTTTGGTAATATAACTTTTCTTGTCTGTCATATCTTTTGGATAGTATCGTCAGTATATTTCTTAAATAGGTTTTGTGCCTCCAAATGTCCTGGTACGGTCGAGGGTGGGGATAGTCCACTCTCCCTCTCGAAATACTCTCACATGGCCATGTGCATACAACTACTCCCACAAAGGTCCTACTCACTGCCTTCTCGCAGCATTACTGTTGTTTACGAAATTGAGAGGACAAAAATCGAATGTCGGGTGCTTTAACGAGGTTAGTGGATATGGAGGATTCACCTAGGGGAGTTGGAAAACCACTTCACGTGGGCTCCAGTATCCTGAAGGGACAAATGGCGTATGAACCAATCATTGGTCACTGGCTACCATGGGACTGCATCCCCTTACGATGCTCCACTGCCTTGTGGATCAAACCTTTAGGTTGAAGGCCCCGGTTGTGGCCCCCTAAGGAAACTACCTCATTCGGTTCGGGCATTCTGGCAGTATCCCAGCTCACACACAAATCAAGTGACTTATGTGGCGCATATGTACTCGGTGACTTTTTGTACCAATATTTATGTACTCAAATAAATAAAATAAAAATTATGTCCTTAATTGTTCAATATTACAGTTTACCATTTATTTAACAAATAAGATTGTAAGCTAATTTTCCAATTATTCTCTTTAAATTTGAACTGTTTAATCTGATATTACTCTCCATAAAGGCTGTGGAACACACAAAATGTCACTACTATTTAATAAACAACTAATACATCTTCACAATCTTTCTAATTAGCGTTTTTATAGCGACTTAGTTTTCTAAGGGATGAGGTCATTAACCCCATGTCCAACCCTCCTTCTTTATCTCGGTTTGGGACTGGCAGTAGCCTCAGAGGGTCTCCAGGCGGAGATTCTTCATAATATGATCCATTTGAATTCAATTTCAATGAATTGATTCAATTAATTATTGTAATTTTTTGAAATCTTCCAATTCTATACGAATATTTCATTTATCATCTAAATAGGTATATTCTCCTTTTTTTTCAGACTTTATCAATTCACTTCTGGTTATAATTACTTATTACTTGGTTTACATTGTTGTGGAGATTTAAGTCAATCTATGATTGAATTATTTCATCAAGATTGTTCAGCAAAAATTCTACTATTAGTCGGATGTTGTTATCATAAAATGACAGTGGAAAAGGTAAGGATTTTAATTAGTCGATCATTCATTCATTAGTCGATCTATGCTAGACTACCGTTGAAAACCTGGAAGTACTGTACAGCCGTTTCGTCCTAGTATGGGACTGCTCAATAGTGCGCATCCATGGTTGCACATACAGGACTCGAACTCAGGACCTTCGGCCTCGTGCGGGATTATAGATGCGCACTGTTGAGTAGTCTAATTTTAGGACAAAATGGCTGTAAAGTGCTTTCAGGTTTTCGATGGTAGTCTAGTTTAGATCGACTCATGAACTCAACTATTACAATTACTCCAATCCCTACAGAAGCCCCATTCTAATAATACTGTTGGGTTATTTTCGATATTACATTGAAACTCTTTAACAGATTTATAAGTTAGGTAAAATGTGTTATCGAAAATATGAAATTTAGATTTTACTTTCTTCCAGAATAGAAAGTTTGTGTTGATTACTTAGTTTTAATTGGTTTGGTTGTAAGTCATTAAAAACAAGTGAGAGGATTAAAGGTCTGTTTCCTGCTAGTTGTGGACTTCTCAAAAGCACTCACCTACAGCCATTTTAAGTATCGACCTTAAGACCGTTACTTACTTTTAGATAACTCAGTTGTTATTAAACTATTCACATTTCCAACTTTAATCATTTCACAAACTCTTATTCTATTAATAAACATTTTCTCATTGACGAGTTTTTTTTTTTGAAAAACTATAATACCGGTGACGTCCAACGTCGATCACGGATGTTTACTGTGAAATATTCTGTATTTACTAGATTTGAAAATGTAAGCAATTAGTTACCAATACGTTCATCTGAACGTGATGTACTCTTTGTGCAACCTGATAGTTCTGACTTAAACGTCTAGCAGAGTAATTCGTTTATTTACTTATTTAAACACATAAACATTGGTACAAGGAGGCACCGAATATATATATTTTTCTGGTTAGCGTTTTTTAGCGAGTTAGTTTTCTACGGGATGGGGACGCTAACCTCATGCCCAATCCTCCTCCTTTATCCGGGCTTGGGGCCGGCAGTAGCCCCCAGAGGGACTCCAGGCGGAGTTACCGAATATATATATACACTACATAAATTATTCGATTTATGTGAGGGTTGGGATGCTACCTCGGTGTCCAAACCGAAGCAGGTGGTTTTCTTAGGGGCCACACCCGGAGCTTTCGACCCAAAGGTCTAATCCACAAGGCAGTGGAGCAACGTAAGGAGATGCAGACCCAATGTAACCGGTGACCAATAGTTGGTTCATATGCCTTTCTTCTCCTCAGGATACTGGATCCCATTTGCACTAGTGTTTTGAAACCAGGGTTTTCCAACTCCCCTAGGTGGATCCTCCGTATCCACAAACCCGGTTAAAGTGCCAAACATTCGCTTTTCGTCCTCTCAATTTTGTAAACAACAGTAATGCTGCAAGAAGGCAGTGAGTAGGATTTCTATGGGGGTGGTTTTATGCACATGGCCATGTGAGAGCATTTGGAGAGAGAGAGAGCTGACTTTCCCCACTCTCGGCCATACCAGGGCATTTGGGTCAGTCACTGGTTTACACTGAATTGGAGTTTTAAAATCAGATTAAAACATCTGGTTTTATTTGGATGCATTCTTAAATATTCGGAGTACTAACTCGGTGTGTTTTTTAATCGTGTTATCTCTACATGGCTTTTGTTATCATTTAACCTCAACACAAGATCTGTTGAGTTTTATCCCAAATGTCCTGGTACAGCAGAGAGTGGGGAAAGTCAGCTCTCTCTCTCCAAATGCTCTCACATGGCCATGTGCATAAAACCACTCCCATAGAAATCCTACTCACTGCCTAAGGAAACCACCTGCTTCGGTTTGGGCACCAGGGTAGTATCACAGCCCTCATACATATCAAATGAGATCTGTATGGCGCATATGTATTTGGTGCCTCCTTGTACCAATATCTATGTGTTAAAATAAAATAAATGATAATTAATGATTCAACCACTTGAATACGATCCGCTTAGTTCCAACTTGATAACTCGATCTATCATACTCAATCTAGGCAGCGTTATAGTATCGATTCTTCTTAAATGAAATGTTTATGTGAAAAGCTGATTGTATAATTTAATATTTGGCAAATATGTTGTCAATCAAATTTTCTCAATTTTGTGGGTTTTATTCTGTTACTTACTTTCGCCTGTTACTCCTTATGGGGCATAGGCCACCGACCGGCATTCTCCAACTCATTCTGTCCTGGGCCTTCCCTTCTAGTTCTATCCAGTCTTTGTTCATTCTTTTCATGTCTTTCTCCACTTCTTGGTGTAATGTGTTTCTTGGTCCTCCTTTGGCCTTGAAGATTCTATGTGAGCGCCTGCCTTGTGACTCAGTTGGGTGATTTCCTCAATGTATGTCCTATCCACCCCCAGCGCGTATTCCTGATTTCTCCGTCCGCTAGAATCTCGTTTATTCTCTCGCACAGTAGGTTGTTGTTGATATTGTCTGGTCAACGGTTCCGAAGTATTTTGCGTAGAAAACTGTTACCAAACACTTCTATCTTCTGGATGATGGCTTGACATTTGTATTGAAAATTGTGACTTTGGTGTTGGTTGACAATTGTTTTGAGTTCCGGATGTTCTTTAATTGTAGATATGCTACTCTTGCTTTGCCGATTCTGTTTCTTATAGATTTTTAGCTAATCAATTGTGATAAGTTTGACATAGAATATGTAAGTATATTAGAATAAAACCATTTTTTCCTTTCATTCTATCAGTTCAACGCATAATTGTTTTGATTGAGATCATGAACCGATTGATGTTAGACCACCATTGAGAACGTGGAAGCACTGGACAGCCGTTTCGTTCTATTGTGGGACTCCTCAAGAGTGCCCATCCGCGGCCTCTCTCCCTGCAAGATTTGAACCCAGGACCTACTGGTCCCGCGAGCGGCATCGTGGATGCGCACTGTTGAGGAGTTCCACAATAGGACGAAACGGCCGTCCAGTGCTTCCACGTTTTCAATGGTGGTCTCAATTAAAACTTAACAATTTCCACTTCCCCTATACTGATAATTGTTTTCATTTTGAATGTATTTGTTGTTTTTGTTGTTGTTGTTTTAATTTCTATTTATTTAGTTTCCTACGAGTGATTACTTGCGTAAAGCGATGTTAAATTGTGATATGAACTTTATTGAAAAATGTATTACACCAGCTACACTACGTTTAGCCTGTCAACATTCACCTTTAACATGGTTAAATTGGACAGAATTAGATGCTAATAAACATCGTATACGTGTATTGGCTCGTATAATTTTAGATTTGATATTGATCAAGTATAACAACTTGTCTATGGTATTTGAACGATATAAACGACTTGATCCAGTGACACAATGTGATGCAATAAAGAAATTATTAGCTATTCATTATCATGAAAATGATGCGAATGATAATCCTCGATCACTTCACTTCAATGATGTGTATCCACATATTATCAACTTTTGGCAAAAGTACTTAGCAGATATTCTATGTTCCAATCAGTCGACTAATAGTGACTTATGTTTCACGGAATATCGTGACTATTTTGAACAGATATGGAATCTGATACCAGGTCTATTAGCTTTACAGCAATTATTTCAACCATTACTTGAGACAATTGTACTGTTTGATCGTTTATGGTATCTTAGAGAATATGGCAACGTAAATGGAAAATATGATCAAGTTGATCCTTATCAATATTCTGGTTATATACGTATTTTTGACCCAGTTTTATCACCACGTTGTATGGCATTGTTAGTGTGTAAAAAATAGGAGAATGTATAGGGATTTATGATGTCCTGTAAGATGACTTATTTTATATTACATTTTATAAAGTATATTATTTATAATTTATCATTGATAGCTTTCTAACATTTGTGAAATGATGCATTTAGCTGCCGGTCAATCAGAGAAATGTTTGCATATCAAGTAATCAGTTTTAAGATGGAATTGATTGAAGTTAGTACAGTCATGTAGTACGTTAGATAGCAGCAGCTCACTGATTTAGAGGATAAGTGTTCGTGTGTATAACTAAAGGTGATTGGTTTGATTCACAGATATAAGGGTTGTGGATGCTCACTTTTGAGCAGTTCCATAGTAGGATGAAACGTTTGTCTAGTGCTTTCAGGTCTTGAAACATGCTTCATGCTTGATTATAAGTAAATTGGAACGGTAAAAGTATGGTATACAGACGAGCTAATCACGATCAAGAATGACACTTTTCATATGCAACGTAGAATCTAGCATATATTTACTCCCAATCATCTAGGTTACAAGATATAAAAAAGTAGAGAGAGAAACTTATCAAAACAAATCCCACGTAGTATATGTGGTTATGGTATCAATGGTAGTGGCAAAGATTTAGAATAAACATTATTGTTCAAGAAGAGAGGATGAATTCACTGAGTAAGAAATATAAGGTCATTTCTAAACTTTGGATCCAAGTTCAGATTAAGAGTGAATGTATGTATTTCATTCCAATCGATTGTGTATCATATTTATCCAACCATTTATTAAAGTAATCTTAAAAGCTTAAGTCATGTTGTTTGCGTCAACCAACACAACTCATTTCAACAGTGAATCACTTTATACACTAATATCATATTATTCCAGATTACTCTTACACCAACCCACGGCGTATACCGATGTAGGTGGTGGTCAAGTATAAGTAATATATGTCCATGGCACCTCAGTCGATGATCACTGACTACTGTATCAAACGATTTACCATCTTAGTCTAGTGGTCTCCATCTTACTTCAAGATTCCCATCAAGCACAAGACATAACTCACCACTTGAAATCTAGAGATACTATCAACAAAGTGAATTGAATTAGTGTAAGTAAATTTCTCTTTTCTACTATAGTCACAGTACTAGATTCATTACTGAGTAAGAAATCAGTGTTACTTGAACATCGAGATCAATATAATTGTAAATATTATAAATATGGAGTTAAGGCCATTTGAACCCCTGTATAAAAGGTAAAAAAAAGTCTTTGGCTTATAACAATGCGAATGATCACCTCATTATGTACGACTACATGAAAATTGTCAAAAATACTATTGACCTTAATCGGCCGATTATTACACAATATAATATCTTGTACACAGTAAGTGATAAGTCGTCTAAGTGAACGTATGAATCGGTTTCCTAAGTTCTAATAATCTCAGACTAAATCTACACGACGATTTGCAAATGAGAGAAGGCGCAAAGTGTGGAAAAGAGACGTTTTACTTCTAGGTTGGTTTATGTACAGAAAATCGAAGATATTTATGGTATTTCAGATAGTCTTGAGCTTCTAAACGTTTATCGAACCATACTGAACATAGCTGCATGATAGGTAATCATAAATAGGACACGTAACTCTTCCTTATCTAGATATTTCTGAGAAACGTCTGTACAACGCTGATTGGATAAAATGTTTCTCAGTGTTTTCAACGCCGTTCTGGAATACTTTTGATCTCCTGAAACATCTTTCTTTGGTGAGACTACAATTTATGGACGAACCAATCAGGTATAAGATAACAAGTCTCGGATTTTGGCGCGAAATTCATTCATCCATTTGACTAAATAAAGTCTTGGCATTATAACTGATGTCAGTTTGTGATGAAAACCCTAAATCAAATTCCTAACCCTAACCATCAACTACAAATCATAATTCTATTCCCCCATATGCTAGTTTATAACCTTCATTTTGTCTTAATTATTAGGTGGACACTCTCAAGGCCACTTTAGCGTCGCTCAATGGTCGTTCATAAAATATGGTCTCACCCTTTCTTCTTCTTCTTCTACAAACTAAGACTTTATCTTAGGGTCGACTTACCATATCAGTAGATACATATCACCTTATAATCAATAGCGTCAAGTTTATTATACTACTGAAATGGTTAAAAGTAAGACTGAAAAAAAAGAACTTCATTTCAATAAAGTCACAATCATACAATTAATTTCAATATATAACAGTTAAATGTTTCATTCTGTTGTTTACTACAATATTATCTTCAATCAATGGCGGTAAACTTCTTTTTGAAATAGACAATCACTGTCAATCATTACATAATATAGAAATGGAATAAGAGAAAAAGAAGGTCTCCTCTTCATTTAAAGTAAACATTTTTTTTCTTTAATATCTTGAATAACTTTATATAGAGATGTAGTCAAGCCTAGACGACAAATGGTTCAGAATTATGTATTATATTAATATACTAGACAATGTTATTGTCTAGAATACATATTTGTTTACTATAAGGTCATATCAGTGATATTTGACATCTTGTATAAACAATATTATTATAGTTGGCAATGAGATATACACGTTTGAATCTAAATATTGAGTCATGAATTGGCTCATACATTCAGGTTATTTCGTTTGGCTTCTTTGCACTTCATTCTCTCTTATTATCTGTTCTGATCAATGATTGTAGGAAATTTATTCTGGTATTTAACTTACTTTATTCCATTATTCACTAATGTGATTAAAGTCGATGATTATATACGAGAGTTGGCGGTATGTATATCTCGATGACAATTAGAAATGATCTAAGTGGATTGAGATATAGGACCACTAAATTGGTAAGCCTGTTGATAACATTAAAGGGCCCTAACATCAGGTATATTATACGTTGTTATCATTTACTTAGGAAATGCTAACAGTGTTCAGAGAACTGAAGTATATCGATGTGGTTCACATGGCTGAATTAAAGCATTTGTCTTCTGTGTTACTGTATAAAATTTAATATGAATTAAATTCATATTAATTCAATCGGGTTGATAGTTTCATGTTCGAAGTCAAACTACATGTATTATTACTCTAGTATCAGTATCGACGAAATAGTGAAATTTCTTTATCATGTCAGTGACGCGTAACGAAAGGCTTTGTTCATCGGCTATGGTTGGTGTTAACTCGTGCCGAAGGAGAAGTTTCCCGAAGATCTGTTCGTGTTGGATAATTTGAAGCTTGAGAAACTGTAGGGTTTTCTGCAATTTCGAGATGACTTACCACATTTATTGTGGTATCAACAACAACCAGGATTATCTGTCTCTCTTGATCTAGCGACAGATCGTTTTCGTGAAGAACTCGTTCGAAGAGTTTAAGAGCGTCTTCGGTTATGACGAATATTAAGGTAACGTGTGAGAGTGTGACCTAGGTCTGTGGCGTATTGTATTGTATTGTTTTAGACTTTTGTTTAACAGAATAAACCTGGTAGCTAGAAGTTCTGGTGATCTCCATAATCCGGTCGGTAGATGCATCCAGTTCGCCTGCAGCATTATCTTGAAATGAGATAAGCACTGCCTGCACCTATTGGGGAGGCTTAATCGAGAAAAGCTGTCTAAACAGACCATCGTCAAATGTTCGTTGACCAATAACCTCTCTCATTCGTTGCTGAACCACTTTGCAGCCCAATGTTTTGGAAGGGTTTGTCTGTTATTTGTCGACCGGCTAATGCTCCACACATATGAATAGCGATTTTTAAAGTTTCGCAATGTTGCATAACATCGCTAGTACACATACTGGATGTGGCGTATTTTTAAAATCACGCGGTAGTGCTTTCACCACCGAGAGGAATTGTACGTGTGGTTCTGTCACGCGTGCTCGTGGAAGCCAGCTTATGTGCAGCGGAAGCAGACTTCTATATTGTCGGGATAGAATGGCATCAGCTGAAGGGTGAGAGGCGAAAGGGGTTTAATCTTGAGTAACTTGGATGTCTGATCCATCTGATAAAGATATAATATACCAATACTACTACAGTGCACGCTACTTATCTGAACATATATAAGTAGTGTATAACACCAGTCAGTAGTGGAATGCCTGATAGTAGAGGATTGAAAAGATCATATTGAAGAGAACAGAAATGTGAACAGAGGATAATTGTAATAACGATGAAATTTTATAAGAGACTATTTATGTAAGATTTGCAACTCATGTATTTCGCCCCAAATTATGAATTGATCTTCCTCACCTGAATTCTCGTTCATTACTCTATCACTGTTACTAATACAATGCTACGACTTTATCATATCAAATTCTGATTTAATAGTTGAAATCATGAGTCAATTGAAGCTAGACCACAATGGAAAATCTAGAAGCACTGGATGGCCGTTTCGACCTAGTATGGGGCTTCACAACAGTGCACATCCAAGATCCCACTCCAGAAATTCGAACCCACGACCTATCGGTCTCGCGCGCGAATGCTTAACCAACTAGACCACAGAGCCGGCAGGTATCCAACAGTTTTAATGTCCAACTTCAAGTAGTCCACGAAATTGAGCGACGCATCCACCATTGACATCAGTCAGTTACTCTCACAACAAACCCGACTGAACTCCACCCATCGCTGCTCTAATTAAAAACATATCGTTTAGTGACGAAATAATTTATTGTGAGAAATATTTTGGGGATTATGACCTTGTTCATTCATTGTTCAATAGTTTCTGAAATTGAGATATAAAATATTTACAAATAAAAGTAATAGATTTCTAGGTTTAAATGATTGAGATCATGAATCAATTGAAGCTAGACCACCATGGAAAACCTGGAATCATTGGACGACCGTTTCATCCTAGTATACAACTCCTCATTAGGGCGTACCCACGATCTCACCCCGCGAAATTGGAACTCAGGACCTATCGGTCGCAATTTCGTGGATTGGCTGAAGTTAGACCTTAACATCGTTGAATACCGGCCGGCTCAGTTGTTAAGTGGTTAAGCATGCGCGCATGAGACCGATAGGTCCTAGATTCGAATAACGTGAGGCGGGATTATGGATAAACACT